TATATATATATATATATATATATATATATATATATATATATATATATATATATATATATATATATATAATTCTAAATAAGAGAGATGGTCTAACGCTTTTACAAGGTATATCTATTTCGATTCATCGACAACATTTCATTAGATAAAAATATGCTTATACAACAATAACATAATAACCAATAAGACTTGTCCATAATTCTAAATATCTCTCCATTATCTCAGCCCAATTCAAACATCTCAAAGAGTGACAAGCTGACCTGAAAGATTTATATAACAACGGAGTGAGCTAAAAATAGCTCAGCAAGTGACAAAGCATATCTAGCACGAGAAAGGACAATTTCAAACAAACAAGATATCACAATGCAAGACAGAATCCAAGAGATTCAAGGATATCATCTCATTAGATACAGAATCGCAAATGTCATTTCATTCGTAACATATTTGGTTCATAACAAATGGAGCATAGAGTAATTTGAGTATATCAACAGCGTACGAGATGTTCCGGAGTATATCAATTGCAAATAGGACATTTTAGAACATATCAGTTCATAGCAAATGGAGCATAGAGTAATTGGAGCATATCAATAGCGTACAAGATGTGCCGGAGCATATCAATGGCAAATAGGACATTTCAGAATATATCAATTCATAGCAAATGGAGCACAAAGTAATTGGAGTATATCAATAGCGTATGAAATGTTCCGGAGCATATCAATGATATATGGAACATTTCGAAGCGTAACAATAACAAATGAAACATATAGAGGGTGAAGTGGGATTCCAAACGTAATATGGTCCATCCATTTCTGAATGACCACCAAACATAATCTAGAGCATTGCAGGCTCTAAGCACATCCCCTTTACCATTTCTAGCAAATGTCTAAATAATCTCACAAACACCAAAGTACAAAAGGGTATTGTGAACAATAATTTGAGACAGTAACAGATGAAGTATTTCGGAGCATATCAATGGCGTATGAAATGTTCCGGAGCATATCAATGACATGGAACATTTCGAAGCATAACAATAATAGATAAAACATTTCGGAGCATATCAATGGGGTATGAAATGTTTCAGAGCATATCAATAACAAATGAAACATTTCAGAATATATCAATGGTATGTGAAACATTTCAAAGCATAACAATGACATATGAACCATTTCGGAGCATATCAAAGAACAAATATGAAACAGAAGCTCAAATGTCGAATTTAACGTTGCATTCATATCATTCTTATCCAAAGCATGTATAGAAAAATATAACCAAAGCTCTGGATATCATATCAAACATACAGAAGGTGTAGTGGGACCATAGACAGAATGCAATTCATCCATTTCTGAATGACCACCAGACAGAAGTCTCCCACGTTTGGGAGCTCCATCCACCCACGTCTAAGTGAAGTCAAAGGGGACCGACAGAGCATCGCAGGCTCTATGCATAACTCCCTTTACCATTTCTGGCAAAGGTTCACATATCCCATAAACACCAGAGTACAAAAGGGCAGTATGAACAATAAATAGCACATATCGGAAGCACACGCGGAACAACAAACGTACATGTGCCTTTACGAGTCAATACGAAGTAAGCAATAATCTTTCACAATTGTATTCAGATTTAAAAGGAAATGAAAGCAAGAGCATTCAAGGATTCCAACAATTACATATAACTCAATTCAAATAAGAAGGTTAGTTAAATTCAATATACAAAGGAATGAAACTGGAATATGCACATATTGAAAGCAAATGAGGAACAATGGGATATACATGTGCCTATATGAGTCAATACGATATAGTATAAATGTTATATAATAGTTTTCAAGAATGCAAATAATTTTAAGGACAAGAGCATACAAGAATTCAAAGTAATAATATAAAGCTCAATTGAATAAAAATCTAAAGGATATCAAACCAGAATATGCGAAATCGACCAAAGCTCGATTTCTAACAGAATTCAAGAGGCACATTGAATAAATGATTCAAACTATCAATCATGCTCCAATTTACTCAGAAATATATCTTTGGAAGGATATTTCAATCTACTTTCAGATAAAGCAAGCTTCATATGAATTGAATTGTCCAACAGAGAGTTACAAATAATTTGGTAAACAAGGGTCGGAGAACAAAATCTCTATTTGGCAGAATTCATAAGGTTAGATTTAATAGATAACTGGGCAGGTGTTTGGACTCCAAATTTTTCAATCCATATATCAAAAGAAAGAACTATGAGTCTAGTTTCCAATGAAATTAGTTTTGAACAAATCGGACTTTCCAACAAAGACTTATAAGCAGCTCGGTATCAAAATGTCAGAATCTCAGAAGTTGCACAGATTCGAATCGTTATGTCTAAACAGGAGATATATCAAATGCAAGACTAGAAAAATTTAAAGTTCCTCGTATTCAAAGCAAATGTAGAGATAAAATTACTGTAAAGAAAGATCATGACACTTGCAATAGAAAAGATAATACTTACAACAAAAAGAATCGAAACATTTGCAATAGAAAGGATCGAAATACTTATATATATATATATATATATATATATATATATATATATATATATATTTATGCATTAAATATAAGAAAAGATTTGTTTAGTAGATACTTATCTCTAACTGTTTGACCGATTTGATATCTAAAGTCAAACTAAATCAACCTTCACTCTCAAGAAACAAAAAATATTTATGTTATTTATTGATTTGAACTGCTAATGTATATACGCTGTGTTATATCAAGAGCTTTCTCATCATATTTGTCCTCTCACGGATCCTGTCACATGGGCCCCACGGATCTGACCTATAGGCCTTATGCAAGATAGGCACATAGGATGAGAGAAACGTTTTGGGAGAAATTGTTGGCACGTATAGGTGATTCTTCTTCCAATTGAATTAACAGTCGAATCCACGTACGATCCAATTGGTTGTATTCACATGGTTGAATGATTCTTTTCTAATTCAATAGCTTAACGGATATAGTTTTTAGCATCCGTACCTTTATAAGAGGTGGCGTCTCTTATCCGGCGTTCGCTCTGGGTCAAGCCGACGAGAACTCGGTCGCAGTCATGGGCGGCGGAAGTCGTCCCTCCGATCATCTTCCTCCTGGTATACTTCTATCTCACTCCTTTGTCCTTCACCATACCCTCCGTGATCGATTCGTGTTTTTTCTTGATCTCGATCTTGCCGCAGAACTGGCAGACGAGGCCGAGACTTCCTCCACCTCGTCCTCGATCTCTGACTACCATCCGGACGATTCACCACTCTCCGTCTCCTCCGGGATCACGGAATCCATCACCGACACCTCGGAAGAGGAATCCGCCGCTGGGGACAGTCGGCGATGGTGCAAGGCTTACTTCGACGTCCTGCGGTCTTATCGCAACTCCGACGAGCGCGCCGGTGTCCTCCGAGACGCCAAAGATCTTATCTTGAGGCATGTTTGTTTGCCTTTTTTCTCTCGTACTCGATGAATTATGTGCACTAATTGGTTGGTTGGTTTTGATCTCCGTTAGGCATAAGCCCGGAGACTGGATCGAAGAGGTCGGCGGCACGACGGCCGGCGACTACGAAGTCCCCGACGCCATAACCCTTCTCCTGGTTGGGCCGAGGGGCTCCGGAAAGAGTACCCTCGTCAATAGGATTACAAGGGTCTTTGACGATGATTTTTCGGCGCCCGACAGGGCACAGGTGTCCCGTGAGCACCCTTCTTTTCCCAATTTCTCCATTGTCTCCATATGATTCACGATGCAAAGTGTAGAAGCTCATCGGTAGTTTACTCACGATTGGAATTCTTGTATGCTTGCAGATAATTTGTCAGCGACTGGAGGGACCTGCTTCCTGCAGGAATACATGATTCCGAGGAAATCAAAGTCGCTTTGCGTTTATGATACTCGTAGTTTATCCACAAACCTACCGCACAACTTTCGATTGCTCCAACGTTGGATGACCCGTGGTGTCAGCCATGGAGAGATGGTGATCAGGTGACATTGTGGTTTTTGAATGCATCTTCTGTATCGATTATACTTGTCATTCTAATTCCTATTATAAAGTTGTCATTTTTTAGAATTAGTTCGGATGTATTCTCTAGGAATGCTCTAAAAGAAGTTCATTGTCTAGGAAGATCCAATTTAGATTCCAAAATCTCAAATGAGCTGTGAAATTGATGATAACCGCCATGAATACAAGTTTTGTTCCTCTTGATTCTGCATTTTGTTCTGTAATCCGTGACTTTGACAAACCTGCAGATGGCTCTTATACTAGTTTTAGGATGTCTTTCTTCCTTGTGACAGGGATTCAGATGATTTTGTAACGAGGAAGAACATAAAGTCTATGAGACGACAAGGCCTATTGAGCCCGTGCAAGAGGAGGATAGTGAACTTTGTCATATTTGTTGTTGATGGATTGTCTGTTTTGAAATCGATGGATGCGAAGGATGACCAGTACAATGAAATTCTTTTTGAAACATTCAATTATCCATTCTTGTCATTTAAAGGTATGGATTTCAGATGTTATTTGTACCTGTAACCTCAATACGAATTTGTAAGAGTTCTAAAGTGTATAATTTTGCAGATAACAAGCCAGCTGTTGTGGTCACCCATGGAGATGAATTGTCACTTAGTGAGCGTGCTATTATCCGTACTCGTTTGGGCGAGCTGTTGGGAATTCCTCCGATTAAACAAATCTTTGACATCCCAGGTGACACAAACTGATATGTACTGTTCCTACACAAATAACGTGTGCACTTGATTTTGTGCAATTAAATGGAAACCATGAATGCAGGCACAAGTGAGTTTGACACTGAGTTGGCCATAGTGGACATGTTGCGTTATTCCATTGAACATGCTGACAGGAACCTTGCTTTTAATCAGAGTTACTTATTTGAGGTTTGGATTCTTTTCTTCTGCAAACAACTAGGTCTTTTTGGGAATTACGTCATTCCATATTGTCTGGATATCTTTTACTATAATGTTTATAGCATAGTACTTTTTGTTCACATTATGATGATTCTCTTCCTTAATTTTCAATAGAACAGCTTTTTATGAAGTTCTTAAGTACCTGTTGTTCATATCCCTAAAGTTTATCAGAACCTATATAATTGTGGTTCCTTTCTGTGCCTGAATTGATGGCTGCTGCTTTTATCTATTAAATTTGGTCATGGAAATGCTTCCAATCATATTCCACTGTATTTGATTTTTTTGGTCGCACGATTCTATTTGTGACAATTGATTCTTGTCGGACGTGAATTTCTCTACTTTGCTATTGTTCTATGTGCGTTCAGTAGACATGTCAATATGGCCACAGATTATTGGCAATTGACATTACACTTCCCCGAGGACTCACATGTAGATAATTTAACTATCAATGCTCAACCAATGATGACTAGTTTCTTTTTTCTTCTCTTTGAACAATAAGATATTCACATTTAAGATGGCATTGTGAGATTAAATTCTAGGGGGTTCATTCTCATCATTTATGCAGATAGTACAGACATTGATGTTCCTATTTGCTCCTTATGAAAGTAGCATGAGCGCAGAATAAGAAGGCAGGACAGAAACATGTTTGGTCAACTCCTCCTACATACTTCTTAAAAATTCCATAAGTGGGTAAATTCAATTTTCTAGTTTGTGGAACTCTGTAATCTTGGGATGGAGTCTGATGCATGCTCCTTAACTTGGAAAGGAGGATGAAGCATGCTTCTGAGAGCAACATGCTGTATTTGAAACTAAATTAGCGGACAGAAATCAAGAATTTTATGAGGCAGTTTGTGAGACACTGGTGACATTAATGCTAAGACAATAGACATATGCTCTTGAAAAAACTCTGACCTATACCGATTGGATATAACAGCATATTTTTTTATGGACAGGAGATTAAAAAAACAAATAAATTATGTGAATGGAATAAGTAGCCAGGAGAAACCTCGATTTCCTCTATATAAGAAGATTCTTAAGAGACTGTATCATATTACTAGCACTTAAAATGGATAATGTTAAGGATTATGGAGATTTTTCAACTTTTTAAATTTGTAGTCCACTACATCAGAATTGAAGTGTTCATACTTCATATTACATCCATTTATTTATTTCATTGTTGGATTACATTATATAAGTCTATATGATAACGCTTATGCATATGGATGAATGACTTTTATCGTTGTTGTTGCTTTTAATATTTTACTGATAATGGATGCAAAACTCTGTTATGGAAGAACTTGAATGACTTCTCTTCTACCGGTTTCTCTGGGACTAGTTTTGACATTCTTATAAATCATCAATCATCACTCAATCTTGTTGAATGTTGTTGTAGGGCCAGAGGATCTTTCACTGGATAATGGAGAGGCTACAGGATTATGATGTGATATTAGAAGTTGTCATCATCTCCTTGTGCATCATCATACTTTGTTTGCGTGGAATTGAAAATCTCATATGATGCCAGCATCCTTGTTGCCAATTCTATGACACATCTTTTGGTATCAAAGTCCCTGTGTACATAAATTTTTTCCTAGTTTTTATACGCACAATAAAAGGAGAGACTTTTTATATGTGAGATTTTGTCAAATCTCTCAGTTACAAGTCTTATTATCCAAATATGTTTAACAGACATCGTAAAGTCTCTGGAGTCATATTATAGCATCTGATTAATTAGTCATTGAGGAATGTTAAATTCGAAAACTTGTGGATCTTTTTCCATGCACACAGATACTCTGCTTTCATCTTTTTATTTAGTTTAAAAGTTGTCTTGTTTCCTTAAATATATATAATGTGTGTATACCCTTCAAAACCTAGGCTAAACAGAAGGAACCAATCAAGAGCCAACTTCCTCAATCCTGTGTAAACCACCCCACACTTGTATAGTTGCAGTTATTTTTGTGCTGATGGTTGGTACCATTGCCAGTGTCTAAGAAGAGGATTTTGTTGTGTGAAGGAAAAAAAAACTCTCCATGATTTACTAAGCTAATTTATGTGATTCCAGTGGAAATGATCAGCTTATTAGCGAGTGTACTGATAATATATGAAAATTCCACACAGATTAGATAGCCCAACCTGCAAGAAACCATATTATATGACTCCTCAGTCTGTGCAGAGTTGTTTAGTTAGGCTTTAGATTCATCTGCTGTTCCTTGATCCTGTTTTTGTTTATTGATTTGTGTTTCTTCGGTGTGGCTTGGGCACATCAAATCCATCAAAGAAGAGAAGGAACCGACGCACAGGACGTCGATTGAGGCTATGAATCCCTCGATCCATGGGAATTGGTTGTCTTATTAAATTCATATTGGATGTTTTTGTTGGTGGATTTTAGATCTCTTCGTTTTTGATAAATTGTTATTGATTTATATTATATAATATTTTTGGCGAATTGTTTTGTATATTGACTTTATGGAATTTATTAGAATCAGATTGTTTGAGAAAAATGTTTTTTGTTATAAAAAATGAAGCCCATTCTTTCAAGATAACCCGTTGGCCACGTATGCCGCTATGTTGTCACCGTTTGATTAGAGCAACATATCATCGGACGGTCCGTATTAAACTGCTCTCTTTTAAACGCCCAAACCCTAAAAATTCTGCAGCTTACCTCTGCGACCATCCAGTCTTCCTCCGGCGTCTCCCGAACGCGGCTACGAGCCCGCCCCCCGCCCCTCCCTTTCTCCTGATCGCGCATCGCAGCCGGCAGCCTTTTTCTTCCTCTCTTTATTTTCAAGGTAGTCACCAATCTCTCACCGATCTCTCTCCAGACGATCGCATTCGTGCGATCCGAGACGAAAAACCCCTCGAATCGGAAATTGCGATCCGGCACGTGGTTTCAAGGGCAACGACCCTGGCAACCATGTCCGGGGAATCACGACCCCCCTCTTCTCGTCCTTCCTCGATCTCGTCGGTTGACGGCCATCTATGGTGTCGCCGGTATGATAAGATGGCTGCTGCGAAGGTTTAGTTAGTAATAGGCTGATGGTGAGATGTATTTCTCCATCCTTATCAGGGGACGAGAATCGCAAGTCCTGTTCACGCTACATGGTCATGAGTCTCGTTCTGTTTAGGTTTCGGCTGATCTGATCAACCCTAGCTAATTTTTGCGGAATTGGATCGTCGATCTGTTAAGTCGGCTGCTGGATTGATTGATCCAGCTGAGCGTCAGCTAATTTCAGCTGAGTCCTGCTGAAAGTGTACAATCATTGGCATGTTCGTGTTGGTTGGCTTTGATTCATCGGTTGGTGGACTGAGATCATCTCGAGTTTGCTCGGAGAACTATTTTTCCTGGCACTTGCTGAATCTTGCATGTTTTATGTTTTTTCTTTACTCATATTAACCCTTCCCGATGCACTTCTATATATGCGCACAGGATTGTATATATGCAGACAGATCTGTGCTCATAAATGAATGCTGTGTTTCATGGATGAATCCCACATATGCAGACTACTAGTAAACAATAGAGGCTGGTTACAACATGGACAAACTGGTTAGTGGGCATGGTGTTTGAACTGAAACATATATCCGAGAATTCCTTTTGCTACACCTTAGCCAAATGGTGTTGCAGAGAAGTTGGTGTTAGTGAAGCAATTTTCTAGATGTTCTGGTCGTTTTTCTCATTTGTACCGAAAGAGAACAGACAGCATAGTTGCAGATGGCAAAATATCTGATACAGTAGGCAATTGTGAATGTTTTTCTCACTTGTAATTTGATTTAGTTATTTATCTGCTGAGGTGAATCCTGTCCTTGCTTATTTAATCATATTATATTCTTTTCTCCTATTTTGTGCCACCAGTGTTCTATCTCCATATTCTGATTAGTGGTTTTGTATTGCAAAAAAGAAATATGGTTGTCTTGGGTGTTGTGTGTTGCACTTTTGTTTATTCTGATATGCAGTAATCAGTTGCTGTTGTCAGGCTGCAGGAGAATGGCAGGAGGATTCAGAGTGCTTCATCTAGTTAGACCATTTTTGGCTTTCTTGCCTGAAGTTCAGAGTGCTGATCGTAAGATTCCATTCAGGGAAAAGGTTATCTACACTGTTATCTCGCTCTTTATATTTCTGGTCTGCAGCCAACTTCCACTTTATGGCATACACTCAACCACGGGAGCGGATCCTTTTTACTGGATGCGTGTTATTCTCGCATCAAATCGTGGAACTGTTATGGAGCTTGGAATTACTCCAATTGTGACTTCAGGATTGGTGATGCAGCTTCTGGTTGGTTCCAAGATCATTGAAGTCGACAACAGTGTACGAGAGGATCGTGCTCTTTTGTAAGTGTTCCTTTTGTAAATATTTTCTCTTATTAGAAACTTTTGCAACTTGGATTTGCATAGAATAGTGGTGAAACCTTGTAGATTGTGTTGTGTTGCTTTTAGATGAACACTCAAGTACTTTGCTTCAACATTGCATAATAAATATTGAATGTGTAATCACCAAATTTGACATAACTTTCTGTGTTAGACTATCCTATAAGAGGATGCATTGGTTACAGCTGCTTTTATAAGTAAGAAATCCTGTTCTTTTCCAAGATTATTATTAATGCAGTTGAAGATAGCCAAGTGGTGCATAGAAAAATGCTTGCCATAATGAATTTTGTTTTCTTTTCCAGAAATGGTGCACAAAAATTACTCGGCATTCTAATTGCTATTGGAGAGGCAGTTGCATATGTTCTATCTGGGATGTATGGCAGTGTCAGTCAACTAGGAACTGGGAATGCTATTCTTATTATACTTCAGCTTTTCTTCGCAGGCATCATTGTCATCTGTTTGGATGAACTTCTCCAGAAAGGATATGGTCTAGGATCTGGTATTTCTTTGTTCATTGCTACCAATATCTGGTAAGTTCATGAACCTTTTCCCTTGTTACCTTCATTTACTGGTCCTGTTATTTATTTTCTCGTTCTGCAGTGAAAATATCATTTGGAAGGCATTTAGCCCAACAACCATCAACAGTGGGCGTGGTGCCGAATTTGAAGGTGCTGTGATCGCCTTATTCCACCTACTGATAACTCGTACAGATAAAGTTCGTGCTCTTCGTGAGGCTTTCTACCGACAAAATCTTCCAAATGTGACCAACTTGCTTGCTACAGTTCTGGTCTTTCTCATAGTTATATATTTCCAAGGGTTTCGTGTTGTGTTGCCTGTGAGGTCAAAGAATGCCCGTGGACAGCAAGGCTCTTACCCTATCAAGTTGTTTTACACCTCTAATATGCCCATAATTTTGCAGTCAGCTCTTGTCTCCAACCTGTACTTCATCTCCCAGGTATACCTTCTCATAATATAGCTGTAGGATATCTCATTATTCAATCTAACCTGTTCGATGTCAACTAAAGTTGTTGTACAGGAGGTACAGTGGAAATTTCCTTGTAAATCTTCTGGGTAAATGGAAGGAATCCGAGTATTCTGGTCAATCCATCCCTGTAGGGGGTATAGCTTACTACATTACAGCACCATCAAGGTGGTTAAATTCCCCCCCCCCCCCTCACAATCTGATATTGTGCAATATGTTTTTTATCTTTATTTTTGAATCATATCGTATCATGCAGCTTGGCGGATATGGCAGCAAATCCATTCCATGCACTTTTCTATATAGTTTTCATGCTCTCAGCTTGTGCACTTTTCTCCAAAACTTGGATAGAAGTCTCTGGATCATCTGCAAGGGATGTGGCCAAACAGCTTAAGGTAGAATTACAACTTCATGTTTCGATTACATTCATTTACTGCCTGACATCCTTTATGAGCTAGCTGCTGAAGAACCTGAAACCAAGTACATAAATGCTAATTGGACCACTACGTACCAACCAGTATTTTTCAGTTTGTCTAAGTACTAGTATCAAAACATATGGCTCGAGGCCCGTTATAATACTTCTAGTATGGTTTTTTATTGTTTTACACATTGGTAACACACTGTACACTACTTCTATTATGGGTTTTATTATTTTACTCAGTGGTAACACACTGCACGAAGTAGATTTATCATCTGGTTTTGTGATTTCGTACCAGTTCGTTGGGCTAACTGGTATCAAATCAATATTTAAATAGCCTAAAACTGCATCAAAGAATTATTGTTCACAACTGCTGTTAAAAAAGTAACGAGGATTGACAGAATGATCTCGGCAAGCGTCAAGTTTCAATGAATTAAATACACAAATATATAGTAGAGCTCATAATAGGTATATACCTTGCAAAAGGTTGTGTGATAACTTCTTAAAATATGGATGGACGGGTCATAGAAGGAGTCATGGTAATGTGACATGGATGGTTGGACCAGAATTTAGACTGAAGAGACCTCAATATGGGCTAGCCTTAGTACTGCTGTTGCCTGCTCATTGTCACAGCTCATTGTCATTGACATTGTGGCCAGGTCCATTTCCATGTGGAGTTGTGTCCTAACACACTGTTGCTTCTTCCAATCAGGGATCAATTTGTCCAATCTAGGTTGATTTTCTGATCCGCAGCTAAACTGTTTCAGGGTCTGCTCTGGACAGTCCAGGATGGTACACTTTCTTTTGTTGTTTTAAACAGATATGGAGATGGGTAGCCAATATATTGATTCCCTTGCATGTGGTTGCTCAGTTTTGGTGCAATCTGTCAAATATCATGCTCGTCTTAACTTGGGCTTCTATATTCGTCATTAATTGCACTTGATACTCAATAAACTTCTTCCAACATTATCCCTTGAACAAGTACAATTCTCTGAACATGATGCATTGTGTAGCAGTGTTATCCGTTAGATAACAATACTCCATAAAACTCAATTTTGTTGCTGCCTAAAAGCTCATCCAATCACTCTCATCGTCCTTTTATGTTTTGGAACTTGCCACTTTTTCCAAATTGACTTTCCTTTTTCTATTTAACTTGGGGATATGAACCAACCAGACCATGCTTTTGATTTTTGTCCTTTCTCACTGCCAAAAGATAGCTACATCAGGTTTCTTTGGTTTTTGCTCCTGTTCTATGTATAGCTTTAATTACTTGAGCAGCTGTCTCTAGAATACTGATATTCAATCTCATTGGTGAAACTTGATCTCTAATCACTCAACATCTAAGCAACAAATGGATGCTACTGCCATTATAGCCATCTAAGCAACTGTACATAGATGAGAATTCAGAATTGGAAGCGTTATAAAATTTTGAAGTCTAATGTCATGTCTCTGGAGTTCTAACTTGGTTCCTGACCTTGGTTTTACACAGGAACAACAAATGGTAATGCCCGGCCATCGAGAATCAAATTTGCAGAAGGAACTGAACAGGTACATCCCAACTGCAGCAGCTTTTGGTGGCATGTGCATTGGTGCATTGACTGTTCTAGCAGATTTTATGGGCGCAATTGGTTCTGGAACCGGAATCCTGCTTGCTGTTACGATCATATATCAATACTTTGAGACCTTTGAGAAGGAGAGAGCCAGCGAGCTTGGGTTCTTTGGCCTCTGATCTGAAAGGTTTTATACTCGATGCTTCGTGGCCCTTACAGCTTTCAGCACAGTTTTCTTCAGTTAGTTAATCTTAGTCACAAGTCTAGTGCTACGTAACGGAAGTTTAAGCTGTTTGCAAATCTTCCTTCGGCCAATCAAAGAGCATTCTAGTCCGTAAATGTAACACTAGTGATGGATAGACCATCTACTACTTGAATAATATTATTGCCAGCTTACTTCGCTTGAATTACCTTCGTTTCTTGTATGTTGGATGTCAATTTATGCTTTAACCTGTTTCTTGTATGTTGATAAATTTGTCCACAAATTTATCAATGTGGCTTGTGTCTGTTGTTTGCGCATATGTTTTTACATCAGCTCGATGTGGTATTATCACCTTGTCGATCCTAATCCCATATGTTGTTTGGGTTTGGATTTCACTTCAAATCACTTGCCCAGGTTTCCTGGTTCTCTTTATGTCACAGGAATTGTATTCATGATCGGTACGGAGCATGGGATGATCAGCATTTTTTATTGTTTTGTGACGGTTGGGATGTGTTTTATCTTATTCCGCAGGAATTGTATTCATGATTTGTACGTGGCGTGGGAGGTCTTCTCTCATGGTCTTAATTTGATGGTGATCAATCTTAACCACATATTAAATCCGAATGCCTTCGACCGCTATGCTAGTAGTTATTGGATTAATGTCGATGGAAAAATTTATTCAAGTATTTACGAATATGCCAATCTTAAGATCTGAGAATTGCGCATCGATCGGACGGTCCACGACGAACTGTACTTTCTTTAACAACTGAACCCCATCTCGATAACACGACACCCTTCTCCTCTGCTCGGGTGACACTTCTCCAGCGACGAGCAGTCTTCTTCTGATCGCACCGCGTTGCAGACAGTCTCTCTCACTCTTGCCTTCTCCGGTAAGCCCCGATCTTAACTTACCTGACAATTGCAACGTGGTTTTCCTTTTTTCTTCACCACGTCTTCCCCGCACCTCCTTCTATCACCGCTGTCGCCTCCTCCCCTATCAACCTCCTTCTCGCATCTCTAGATTCGAGATGGAAAGATCGATCGGGCGACGGCCGGTGTAGATACCATGGAGGAGGTGGCGGCGGCAGTAGTGGAGGGTGAGAACATGAGGGCTAGCAGACGTTGTGGTGGTGGAAGGGGAAGGGCCCGGCGATAGGAGCTGACGGTGAAGGGAGGAAGAGGGAGCGATGGGTTCTGGTGGCCGACGACGTGGTTGTTGTGGGAGGGGAGCGGAGGAGATGAGCAGACGAGGAAGGAAAAAAAGAAAAAAAGAAAAGAAGGTGAATAAGAAAAGGGAAAAAATATATTAGTATTTTTACCCGGAGCAGGCCACGTCAGTCCACCCACAACAGCTTTCTGTTAAAACTTTATAAAACGCGAGGGAAACGGGGTTTGCTCCGTTTACTACACGTTCTCCATTAGTTTGCCATGAATCCTTCTGGAACTTCCAGAAATGACTAAGCCATCTTAAAGTTGAATGTGTTGAACCGCTGAAATAATATAATTAATTGATGTGAGTACATGAATTAACTAGTGACAAATTTCAGAAAGATGTCAAACTAGACGCAGGCATGTGATAGCCTTAGTATTTAGTTACTTAATATGGTTCTCATAATAAATGCTTCAAATGATGAGGAAGATGCAAAATAGGAAGTAACTAGAGAAGGGTTCGAGGTAATAGTAGATGGGTAAAAAGCTTCAGTTGTGAGTCATTCGGTAAATATCATAATGAAATGTATACATGGAAATATAAACATGTGCATGCATAAATATGTGTTTAATACATATTTATGTTGATATAATTATGAATTTGATTTTGTACCTTTTTCATTGGGACTTTCCTGTGTAAAGTATAATTGCTGTTAATCACTTTGGTTAACAAAACAATGAAAACCAATTTAGCAGTTTGAATGTTATACCAACAGGTTGATGGCTGTGCCCTCAAATCAATGTAGCATTATGACTTGTTGTCTTCTTATTGTTAGGTTGGTTGTTTTATATTGTCACCAAATCAGGTTGGCTTAATCTCACTCTGCCTCATTTCACTTGCATACAAGAATGCACAGAGGTGCAGATACTCGGAATGTACAGGAAATCTGCATGTATGTTTATACATATTTACATCTGAAGATATGTTATATATAATTGAAATGCAAACATTTAATTGATATAGGTCTTGAGAATTGAAATTTCAATCCTCTAATGTTATAGATGGCATATGACTTTATTTTTTCTAAATGAGATATGCTAGCTGACTTTAGGTTCTATATTATTGATATTTGGTCATGTATACTGTGGCTGCAATTCTTTCTGAAGGATATTAACTCGCACTGTTTTATCTTTTGACATAATAGTAGTAATTTATATACCCTTGCATAGACATACATAAATGGTGTACAATTACTTTAGTGCCTATATTAATAAATAGCTTGTAATTAACATTGGCCTTCAATAGATCACTTGAACAAGCTTTTACTTTTGAAAGTTAAATGTTGCTTCCTATTGGTTGTGTAGGTCCCTTGTCATGGAGTGCTTAAAGACAAACTTTATAAGGTGAAGTATCTTTTACTGAAATAACTAGCTTATAGAAGTCATATTTTTTTCTATCTTCTTTTAGGCAAGTAATTAAAGTCAGTGTTTGAACACTCTATTCTTTCATTAAAAATGTAAAAATGGACAGCATGCATCTACTTTATAGTGCTTCATAATAGTAAACTAAATCAGTCTAAATCGATTCAGTAATATTTGACATAGTTTACTTTATTAATTTTGGTTTTTAAAATGGTTATCAATTTCATTGAATCATTCTACTGATTCCATTTTTATTGGCTTGGTGTGTGTATTTGTTGCACTGAAGAAAGTTGGAGCTGGTGCAAAATCACACAGTTCTATGTAATCCATCAGATAGATTATGGACAGTCCCAAGAAGACTGGCATATTCACGTCAGCGTTCTGCTTGTTATCGAGAATGTCATGCATATTTTAGTAAGATATACCCTGCAAAATCATGCTTTTATGGACGTAAATCTTCAAGGGCCTTTTCCATAAGCTTGGGTGAGGAGCCTTCCTCGTTATCAGAGGTGGAAAACATAAGTGATATTGATGACACTGTGCCAACTGATTCTTCTGAGGAGGTCTTGCCACAAAAGTTGAAGTCTGATGAGGTATTTAATCTGTATATCATCTTTCCTTTTAATGAGAATAAATGTCTAACTGATGTTTTCTACTCTTCTCGTTAGCTACATTATCTTCCCTCTTTCAGGCAACTAAATGCAAGGCTAGTCTCCATGCTGGTCAAGGTTCAAGACTGTATCTAATTTAAAACCCTAATGGATGATTCCTTTAATAATGAATACTAACATGACCAGGAAACAAATCAAACACAATCTTAATTCTTACATACTGGACTCATACATAAGTGGATAGTTGGTTCTCTGAGGCATGTTTACTTTATAATAATTAGGTAGTCCTATGTATAAGCTATTTTCAAATCCATATGTCAATGATCTCAACTTTTTATAATAATATAAAGGATAAAATATGTGCCTCCTTTATGCCTTGACTCTAAAGCTTAACCATTATCTTTCCATGAATTTTGGCACAATTTTCACATATAAATCACTTATTTGTTACTTATTTAATAAGTTGAACATAATTTTTCAATTTTTCTGGGTTTTTAATTAAATTTTTTTTTTGCCCCATGTTATGGACTCTTTAGTGCAGTTTAAAAGAAGAAAAAGAAAAGCAGTAGAACTTACCTAACAGAGGGGAAGGAGCTCTTCGAGTCTTTAATGCTGGTCTTCCCTTACCTCAATCAGCCCTCCTGTTTCCGTCACAGTTCACTTTTGACTTAGTATTTCAGCAGTTGTTCCATAATTGGTGAATGGAAGAGTACCCTGCATAATGTATTATCAACTAATATCCAATTTTAAGCATTAACAATTCACTAGGTTTGTAATTGATTATATTATGTCTAATTTATTGAACATCTTATCCACTTGCAAATTGCAATCTCTTCATCTCAAGTAGCAACTGCTATTTACCTGATTGCAGTGATGATGTTATTCTTTTTTAACCAACAAGTATACATACTATAAAAATTGTACCACCACCCATTACTATTTTGTTATCTACCCTCATTATATGTATGTAATTGTAACTTCTCTGCTATTAGCTTGCTTCATAAAATATATGAATTTTTATGCACATGGCATATTTTAAGTGGTTATGACAAATTATGCTATTGACTGACAGTTGAAGGCACTGCTGGTTGACACTGAAAGAAAAAAGCTTTTGAAGAAACTCAGCGAAGCTAATCAATACAACAGATTTCTCAAAAGACAGGTCTTAACGAATTATTTGTTCTGTTCTTGTTGTATAACACAGCATCAATATAAAGCCTTAGAATCCAAGATTCAAAATTCAAGCATAAAATTTGATGCATATATCAACTTTATCCTAATAGCCCATTATTCCAGTTTAATACCAAAGTATCTATTTAATGAGAAATCTTCAATTTTGATGGTTAATTTATATCTGAACTATGGATACCGTTAATAATATTGAATGTGGCTCTACAGATTTGCAATTGTTGAAAGGGGATTTTTGATGTTTTTTAGTTGGTTCTTCATTATACGGTTCACATTTGTTGAAAAGGACTTTCAAAGGCTTTATTATTGGTTTTTGGATGATGCTCATTGGAGCACAGCTGTATTGCTCTTGGTTAGTTAAGTACCTTCTTTTGGTTACAGTTTGTTTAGATATAAAGCATGTCAGCAGCTAGTATATCTTGGACTACTGTGGGGACGAGTGGGATGACAAAGTGATCTTGATGGCACTTAGTTTGAATATTTATGTTGCCATGGACACTTTACTGAGCATAATTATAAGAAAAGATCCATGTAGCTTGTCTCTAAACGGTTAGGATTTATGGTTTGATATTGATGATGATGGTTCTCAAAATTTGATATTTCTCTGACTGCCAATATAATTATAATGGATTGGTTTAAATTGTTGAAACAGTATAATATGTATTTACTGATATTATCTTTTCTATGTTTTCATGATTTCAGTAATAGTCATGGAGACCTTGGGTATGTTTCAATCACTTATGACCCTTTTGTGTGTGATGCTGCAGTTGCTTATGGAAGAGGATGCAATAGCCAAGTTCAAAAATGAACTTGCTGTCTTGGAGCTTGAACTTCAGGCTAGTACATATGTTGCTTTCCAATATTTATATATGTATATATATATATATATATGTGTGTATATATATATATATATGTGTATATATGTGTATATATATATATATACATATATATATATATATATATATATATACACACACACATATATATATAACACATAGGACTCAACTAACTTGATACAGAGCCCTATCATAAATCATAAATTATATAAACAGTGCGATTTTCAATTGTAAACCCTTTGCTTACAGTCTTACACTGGAGCTGAAAGTATTGGTTTTCCTAGTACATAAAATAAAACATAGAGTTTTCAAATTCAATGAAGTTTGTAGTCCAAATTAGCCAGTAAATTGCTGAGTTAAATGATACCAAAATGAGCATCAGATGAATTCAGCAAATGTCAGGTAAAAGATTGAGTCAACTTGGAACCTGATGAGTGCAATTGTTGGTTTCAAGTATAACTCAAGTGTTTCATCACAATTTTGTATTAACCTCATATAACCATATCATTATCTATCTATATAATAAAGAGCACTTTCTTGTGCAGAATGTCTTGATGATTATGATTTACACTTGCTTTATCAGACTTTGGTTAGCTTAGCAGAAGAGATAGCTAATAGTGGGGTTCAGCCTGATTCGAGGAAGATAAATGGGAGATACATTCAATCCCATCTCCTTGCCAGATTAGAAGGTAACCTCATCCATATGCGCATGGACATTTATTCTTAATACTAGTTCATTAGTATTTTAAATTTCATAGTCCTGAATCATAATGGAAAATTTCTCAACTGTTCATCTGACCATGAAATACCATCTATCTAATTCTCCTTAGCTGGTTCCACTTATAAAACCCAATATCATCTCCTATATTCAGGTAAAATAACAAGTCTATAGATCTCCTTAAATGTAAGGAAGAATTTGAATTCTGAGAATATAAAAAACAACAAACTCTTCTCTATCAATTTCAAATGAGTTTTACCCACTATTATTTTCTAGAGGCGCTTGGGTCACTGTAAAACATTTAAGCCCCTTTTTTTGAAGAAATAATAAGCAATAAAAAAGCTCAATGTTAAGGGACCCAGTTAAATATGTGATCAACCCATATCTATGTTCGCACAGAGCTGGTCGGCATGGGTTCTTTTTATTGCTTCTCTTTCTCATCATTTTGTGTACATTTTAACCATAACTTTTCTTTTGCACGAATAGCGATCCACGGAAAAGTTAAGGAGCAGATAAAGGATGTGGACACTTTGAAGTTTGAGGTTTCTTTATTCTGGGTTGGGATGGCTGAGGTAGATTCTTAAACAACAATATCCCATCATCCTATAATGATTTGGATTATGTGGCATATTCTTTAATTTACCATGTGCCTTTATGTTTCTATGCTAAAAAATATAGTTCATTATTTGAGTATTTAAAGAGTCATTGGCATTTGATTTTAATATTGCTTTCCTTAAAAATACTAAGATATGTAATGAGCAAGCATTTAGCACTCATGAAAGCAAATCAAAAGATTACTTTTTGTGAACATTCTTTTTCACAGCTGTAAAGGTTCTTTAGATTCTCTCAATTATGATGTCATAATTTCACATATCTATTTATATTGTCTTATAGTGGTTACACATTTATTAATGATATATTGTTAAAAATGCTATATTAATCAAGACATGACTGAAAAAAGAAAATGCAAAACTCAAAAATCTCAACCTGATTCATATTGAGGGTGAAAACTATATGCTGCATACTTCAGTTCGTTAATCCATTTGAATTGATCTATTTCTCTATTTACCCAGTTAATATAGAGGATGATTCCTTTCACTTGATTTCTTCAAATCAGAGTGTCCATGTTATGGGTTCCTTTGATGGTTGGACTCAAGGAGAGGAGATGCCACCAGAGTATACTGGTGACTATGCCAGATTTTCAGCTACCCTCAAACTTAGACCTGGGAGGTATACAATCTTTGGTCTTCCATTTTCTGTAAGCCAATGTGTGTGGCATACTAACAATCTTTATTTTGGATTTAAGGTATGAGATCAAGTTCTTGGTGGATGGGGAGTGGAAACTATCTCCTGACTTCCCCACCATTGGTGAGGGAATCATGCAAAATAATTTGCTAGTTGTGGAGCAGAATAACTGAACATTGCATAATAGCCAAAATTCGTAAAGTCCTCACTTTTTGTTTAATGAAGAGCTATTCTACTAGGTGCCAACGATAGCTTGTCATCCTACTCAACAGTATTTGTATTGTCTTGATATTTCAGATATGGAGCAACCTCAAAGTGATATATTGTTAAATTTTCTAGCTCTGTTGTCTGTTTGCAATTTATCAGTGCCTGTTTGCAGTTCCCAAAGGGTTTCTTGGTTTGATTATATCATCAATCCTGATTGTTAATAGCTTTTTTTTGTCCTGTAATCCTCAATCTTGTGGCAAATGCTGGATTGAATAATTTTTTGATATCTCCTTGGCAGTATATTTCTTGTCTTTCCTATAATCCTCATCCAGCTTCAAACAATTACTCAAGAGCCAGGTAAATGCTGAAGTGCAGGATGCCATCGGTTAGTTTGGAATGGGAACAGGACAGTGTTGAGATTTTGGTAAGATCAACAATAAAATTGGTCAGGCTTATTTCCAGAAATTCTAAATTATTTGCAAATCACCATCTTGGGTGATTTGATGATCATCTGATGTTGGCGTAACTACTCTTTTTGTGATTATCTGATAAATTCCTCTAGGAAAGGGAATATAGGGTGATCCACCTAAAATTGTTTTTTGAGATACACCTCATAAAGTTTAGGTTCAAGAATATAAAAGATATTATAAGGAACTCTGCGTAATGAAATTATTGACTTCAGGAATGATGACTTCAGAATAATGGAGTAACTTGTCTTTGTTAATGCCAAAACATATAGGTACAGGAAATTCAGCATGAAGGTCATCAAAGCTGTCAGTAGCCCATGCTTCGAAGGCTCTTTCTTTTCTTTTTTTTCCCCTTCAAGTGTTTGTTTATAGCAAGTCTTAAAGACACTGACACTGTATTTATTCTTAACAATTCTGATGAACAGGTAGCTTTCATGGTTCGAATAGGCGCACATGATCGATCCACAGTCTCAAGTGGTAACGGTGTTATGCATTTAAAACTGCACTTCTTCAATGGCTCGAACAGGTTCTTTAGATTCCTCATACACGTAGTTCAGTTTTATCTTGTGCCCGTATGATATGTATAACTACAATTATTATAATGCAGAGTATTAATTTTAATAACTAAATATAGAGCACAGTTATCGATCTTTCTTGTTGAAATGAATTGATTTGGTCGTGTACATTTACTAAATGTGTGATGATACTTATCCTAAACCTGATCCTAGCACTTGTGTGCCAAATGTAGCACAACGCTAGGCTCCACTTGCTATTATCCATTACCCATCTGTTGGTGCAATCATATTATTTTACCGAGTCAGCTTAAATAGAATCAAATTATATATAGGAGAAATCTGTGCCATAGAGATGATTAGGCTTCTTCATTCTCCAACCCAACTACTTGTTTCATAGATTAGTAATACTGCCACATCTAGCTTTGAATCTCAGCAGCTGCATTTATTGGAAAAGTTTGGAAATGCTATTGTGGTTTATGATGATCTAAGGTATGCATGAGTAGTGGAGCCTGAAATGGGGATCTTTGTAAGTTACAATGTACATGTCTAACAAGAACATATCTTGTTCTATTTTAAAGCCCTAACAAATTTGATTCTGAGACTTCCTTTTTCATGTTAATAAATAATAAATGAGCAGTCATACCAAAATTAACAGTAAACGCCAATGCTAAAGCATCCAGATGATACTCCCTGTCATGTTACAATGTTATAGCATAAAGCATATGCTATTAGTGTATTGGGCATTCAGATTAAAATTAAGTTGCTAATTTTTATACAGTTAGTTTTTCTTCTGCATTGTGATGGTTGACACAATAAGTTTGCTGAATTCAGTTGTCTTTTCAATTGCTAGTTACTTTGGCAATCGAGATTAACACACCGAGTGGAGATCGTCACCAACGACTAGGGAAATCACACCGTCCCCTCCTATTGTTTCCTTCACTAACATGGAGCATTTTATTGGAGAACTGTGAGTGTTAAAGCTTTACATATCAGTGTTTTTCTTGTTATACTATCAATAAATATACACGTATTAAACAGATCAGGATGTATAAAAAAGGTATTTGTGTATTTAAAATTTGGTAAAAAACTGAAAGGGGCTGTAGAGAAAGGACATATATTTAAAATCATATATTGTAACATGATGTTTTCGGTCATGAACATACAACAGACATTGTAGAAATACTAATAGGATCTTATTTAATAAAAACAATAACAATAATATCCTTCGATAGTTCTTTTGCATGTGGGCCTTCGTGACTAGTTTGTCACTAAAGGATTCTCACATTTTTTTCATATGACCTTCAATGGTTCTTTCTCATGAAATGAGGTTTTCCCACTTGTATGATGCCATATCATATTGAGCAACCATGAGACAAGGATGTTGCAAATGAACATTAAAAATTGAAAGTAATAGAAGTAGAGAAAAAGATTGAATTATATATAGATTTATGTTCTTGTTTATCAAATAATTGATTGAATATTAACTTAAAAATAATAGTAATTTATTTATTTATAACTTGAATATGTTGTCATTTATTATTAAAGGTAAATTCAGAAAGATTCTCTTATCATATGTAAACGTATGACGAGAGAATCTTTAGAATGATAACATTTCCAAGTTATATGTAAATTATTTACTATTAATTTTTACAGTTAATATCTAAACAAATTGTTTGTAAAGCAAGAATATAAATGTATATATATTTCATTCTTTCTCTTTACTCTTATTACTTTCAATTCTCAATATTCACTTCCATCATCATTCTCCCATGGCTGTTGTTCAATATGATATGCATCATACAAGTGGGAAGTTCCTTGCGTTCTGTGTCATGAGAAAGAAGATGCACTCTATTTGAGTTCCAAACAGAGAAGTTTACACTTTAGAAGTGCTAACCATTGACTGGAGACATGCAACAAAAAAAAAAATTTAAATCCTTCAATGATGAACTAGCCATGACGGCCCACATGTGAAGGGACCATCGAAGGGTATTATTATTGTTGTTTTGTTTTTACTGAATAAGGCCCTATTAGGATGTTATAATGTCTGTTATATGTTCATGACTGAAAGCATCATTTCATAAAATGATTTTAAATGCATATGTCCTCTCTGTATCGTCCTCCTCCCGTGGTTGTTGCTTGACATGATATTCCTCATGCAAGTGGGAAATGTGGGAACTCCTTTAGTGATAAACCAGTCATGAAGTGCACATGCAAGGGGACCACTGAAGGTTGTTTGTTGGTTAATTTTATTACTATTTGTGATTATCTATTTATTGAGAATAGCACTAACTACTAAGTAAAAAAGATTTATCGGAGGCCTGAGATTAGTGACACAAAACTGCATCAGAAAGTTTCCATGATATTTGTGTTAGGTATTATGATCCCTCATCTTTTTATAAATGAATCAGATCTCTTGTGGCCGTTACTACAAGAGGCAAAGTTTCCAAGATGTGAGAATGTAACATTTTCTACATTCTCACATCTTTGGCAAGATGACTAATGGTGACTTAAGTACCAAGATGAATGATCAAGAAAGCCAACTTATAGCGAAATTTGTTTATTGGTTTGATTATCCTTGGTTAATATGGTGAAATTGAGGAGGCATTACCATGATTTTTAGGAATAGGGTTAATTTTTTGAAGGCATAGTAAAAAAAACAAAAAGGTTAGCATGGTACTTTTTAGTGGGTTCTGGCTCTGTTTTTGGTGTACAATACTATAATTGACATAACAATCCTGTTGATTGAGTGTTAGCTAGAATCTCATTAGGACAGGATCCAAATTGCTATCACTTTTATCAACTATATAAAAGTGTCACGAATGCTATCAAACTAAATATACACTTAGCTGGACTTGGCTTATGAGTTACAAATATTCAGTGGCAGCCAAAGAAAATAGAAACAAGATGTAAACTAGTTTGGTGTCCTCTTAGTGAGCCAAGTAAGCTAATATGCATCAGTTATGGGCCAATATATCCTGATATCGATTCCTATTGATGAGGATTAGAAACTTTAGTTATCTCTAGTATGTGAATTTAGATTTATATATCTGACTCAACATATCAGTTTCTAATTAAATTATGCTCATAATACATTGATACATCGTACCAACAGTATATTTCTTATGTACCATGATTTGGTATCTTCTATAGAAGCCTCGTGTGCATTCATTATTTATCTCAACCTTTATATCTTGCATTGCAAAATATATATAGAAAATTTTCAGTGGTTTTCTTTACTAATGTGACCAATAAATTTTCTTTGGGTTGTTACTTTTTTTATGTTGTTTGCTAGTCTTGTCTCATGATGCTACCTCAATGAAATGCTATAAGAATGTGCACCTCTGTTACATAGTTAGATATATCCATATGTATGTATTTCTTCTTTTCTTTTGCTATCATGTTAATGTGTGTCTGTACTTATTTGCAGTCTGTATATATCTTTTCTTTGCTTGTGACAACATATGTCCTTGTGATATATTTTTCTTTTTCTGTCAGGCGATCTCCTTTGCTTTTCTAATGTATGTAGAGGAATTATTGCTAAGCTAGTATTCATGATGATTTATGAGGCAAATTATTTTATGTAACATTATCTAAGATTCTAAATTGCCATGCATTGACAGAAAATGATAAACCAGGAAAAAAGATGCTTTGTATCAAGAACGTTAATCTTGTCATGAAATAATGCAAACGTTGAAGGTTTCCTTTAAAATATTAATCAGGAACTAAAGAAGAGAGAACAAGAAGGACAACTTAGAGGGGAAGGATTTCTCTCAGAGGTTAATGCCCAATTTCATCAGGCAAGTATTTCTGGTGAATTTTCTGATCTCTGTGTTGATCCGTTTATTGATGTTATTCTTTAGTTACAGGTACACATCAGTATGTTTTAGTTGTTGAATTTTTATCTAAATAAATCCAACATTTATGCTTTTACTTATTCAGTAAAATGAAATTGAAGATTAGAAAATTTCCTTGCTGTCACACATTATTGGCATGGGCCTGTCACATCATGTACCTGCTATGCCATATCCTGCTCATGGGGACTTAATGAATCATTGCTCATGGCTGTTACCTTCCATTCAACTTTTGACAATATTAGTATGGGAATAATTCCAACACATGCACATGGGTAGTGCTGGCCAAAGGGGAGGGAAGGTACAAAGGGGAACCCATTTCGAGTTACTGCACTCTAGCATCAATTGACATGAACATGAGTTCCTGTAAGAGAACTAGAAACCCATTCCAGTCCAAAGCACTGACCATCTCTGCAACTCTGCCTCAGTCTAATTTCACAGAAAGCATTAAACCCCCTCCCAAAAAAATGCCTTCAAGCTACTGTGTGTGTCAACAAGGGTGCTTATACTTTCTAGAACTAATGAAGGTTGTTGCAATATACATTTATAGAAGTCTAACCAGTGAACCAACTTCGGCAATTATTATATATGTCAAGAAGGCTTTCCACATACGAAGTTGTTGTTGTGGTGGTTGTCATTGTAGCCCGAGACCAGCATCAAGCATCCCCACGAAGTGGATGGTTGTGCAGATCTCTTGGTGAATTAAGCAAGGGGCCACATGAAACAAGAAAAAAAAAAAAACAGTATGTTGGATGCCGAAGTTCCTATGACTTTTTAAAATAGCACGAGCCATTTGCTATATTAATGATATAGAGTCTGCAAAGTTTCATCATACAGGTTCACATCTCGAATAGACCCATTGTTATGACTTCAATCCTGATCACATACACAGCAAACAATTAATTTTTTTATACTCATCTAAGTGTGATTCTGAAATCATCTGCAAAGAATTGTAATTGCCGATAACCGATCTGGCCCCTATTTGTGATGTGACTGTCTGAAGATTGATGCTTAGGCTAACCCCCTGCTTGAATATAACATCTGATGAATATTTTCAGTCACGATCTATATTTTTTTGAGATATTTGTCCATGTCCTGGATAACGTGATACTCGTCTTTTCTATTTCTGGCAGTTATTATCATGGTCATCGGTGCATGCAATGTTTGCATGTTACGTATCATTCTTGCTGCATCATGGACTAGGACTTCTGATTCCGCACAAGGTGATGAAATACAGATAGAAATATTCGTTTTTGTTTCTAGTGCCTTTGTTTCTTTTCTTTCCAGAGGAATATTTGGGCATCAATAATAGGTCATTCTCCAGTTATGAGCACTATGTTCATGCCGTCACACTTAATTTTCATACTCACTACTGGAGCAATATATGACCTGTCTGTGGTCGTTAATCTTTCTGTTGGCTCCAATGGGCAGCAGCATATGTCGTGGACACAGGTATCTGTATATAGCCTTCTTCTTGAGAACTTGATGGATTGTTGGACGACATGAATAGCAAGAGTGTTTTTTAGCTGCTCATTTGTGTTTATGAATGGGAGGTGGTCTTATTTGCTGTTCATCAAAAATTTATGAACAATCAGTAGCTTGGTTATTATGGATCTTATCTTTACACCACGTTGATCACTGATATTTTTTTAATTGATGGATTGTAGTTCTATTCAACCTACTAGTTGTATCCATTAGATATGTGGTGTTTTTTTTTTTCCTTTTTTTTGCTTGTAATTCAGTGCTAAATCTTCAAAAGAGTAGGTGAGTGGTGGTTGAGAACTAACATTGGATCTTAGCAAAACTATACCTTATTCAGTCCATTGGTCTCTTTTGTATTTCTATGTATTTCTTGAACACTTTATGCATCACAGGGTTAAACCAGTAGGTCGACTTTAACTAAAATAATGATATCTAATCCTATTAAAATTCTTAAACTAATTCCTTATCTAATCTCAAAATTAGATTTAATATTCCTGTGAGACAGCGTACCGCATTATTTTCACCCCGTACCCATTCAGATGAGAGAAGTGCCTGTGTTGCGGCTGAAAGAGGACTGTCGTTGTGTCCTCCATAGCCTTCAATGCTCACGTGGTTACCTCCCAATTTGTACCCGTCACTGTTGCTGTGTATTGATTGCCGTGTCTCCTGTTGCGAATGTCACTACTGTATATGGGCCCAGATGCCCTCGCTCGGGACCCCTCCGTTCACGACGTACACCATATAGTAGCCAGGTGGCGCCAGAATGGCCGACGCCGGCGCTACCGCCACCACCTCAGACATGCCACCCTCGGTCTCCAGCACTAGCAGCCTCTGGTTCATCGAGAACGAGTGCGTCGCGAAGGATGGAGCAACCATCGTCACTCTGATGCCACCCTCGCTCACCACTCCCACCGAGAACTGCAAGCTGAATCGTCCACCATAGGTCAACTGGATTGGAGATGGCGGCGTGAGGATCTGTGGACGTAATCTCGAGTTCTCTGAGTTCAGGTAGGACGGAGAGAATGCCTCCATGCTGAGCTCCGTGGGGTACTCCACTCCGGAGAAGTTGTACTTGACGTGGGGATTGCTGCCGCCGACAAGCACCCGGCCGTCGCGCAGCAGTACCGCGGTCGAGTGGTAGAGGCGCGGCGTCGTGGAGCCGCTCTGGACGTCGAAGCGGGCGCCAGCTGCGCCATCTGGGCGGTAGACGACGGGGGTCAGGACCGGATCGTGGCCGAGCTCCCACCCCGCGGTCCCGGCGGCCGCGCCGTTGATTAGGAGGACGTCGCCGTCGGGGAGCAGCACCATGTCGCCCATCACCCTGGGCACGGGCATCGCCTCCATGTTCCACGACGGGGCCGCGTCTGTGATCTTGATCCTCCCGCATGAGTCCAGCGCTCGGAGGAAGCGTTTCTTCTGCAACGCTTGGGAGTACGACCCCGCCGGTGCACCGCCGCAGATTAGCACTTCGGCCTCTGTCGGCGACGGCTTCAGCGGCAGCAGCACCGACGAGCCCGAGCTCGGGTAGTTCCTGGGCTCTCCACTGGGCATTTTTGGGTATGTCCTCACCACCGTGTTCTTGGAGTAGTCGAGCAGGATCGCGCGGTTGTTGGCGAAGATGAAGAGGTTGCCGTCGATGCTGAGGTGGACGAAAGGGTAGAGGTTGTCCTCCACGTCGTCTCTTGTGTCTTGGAGAAAGCGTAATGCGATGGTGCTCATGTCGGAAGGATCGGGTTTGGGGTAGAACTCGTAGTTGAACTGGCGTCGGCCTCCGACGACCACCGCGCGGCCGTCAGGGAGGACTTGGTTGGTGGCGTACCACCGGCGGACGGCAAGCGCCTGGGCGGTCTCGACCCAGTCGCAGCTGCCGTCGTCGCAAGGACGGAAGGTACGTGCGGCACGCTCGCCATCGTTGAACCCGCCGGTCTGGACCAGGGTGCCGTCGGGGGCGACGGAACCGGAGGAGCACCAGGTGTCGGTCAAGACCATGAGCGGTCGGAAGGCGTTGGCGACCACGTCGTACTCGGCGGAGTGGGCGGTGCAGTCGACGGGGAGAGCCTTGTCGTTGGGGTCGTTGCGGCACCTGCCGTCCGGGAGAGAGAGGTTGGAGGGGCCGAAGTCGGTGCGGTCGAAGACGACAACACGGTCGTTGTGCAGGAGCTGCATGTGCATCGCAGACACCCCGATGCTGTGTTGCAGTAGCTTCCATTCCCCTCCACCAGCTGCAGCACTCACCACAACCAGGAGGAGGATAAGGAAGAAGAAGAAGGAGGGGAAAGGAACGTGACGCGGGAGCGATCTCATCTTATAACTGGATTCTGCACACAGGTTTGTCAACATGCGACCTGTGATCTCTACCTCAGCTGTCACCTGTCCTTTTATAGTGCTTGCAGGGTGTGAGCAGGAAACGAAGCCATAAGCGTCCACATGAGGGGAGCAGATGGAACAAGTTACCACGATCGGAAGTGGCCATGGCTGACTCACATGGGTTGGCTTTATTCGCTTTGTCATTTCCTCCACCGATTACCATGGGCTGGTCGAAGGCATCTGCTGCGCCTCTTCTCCTTTCTACTCGGTAGCCTGTAGAACTGTAAAGCATTCGGTGAAGACACATGCACAGAGGGTTGCTTTTGCTTTGCCTATCATGTTGGCTTCTGCTCCTCGATGCAACTGTATTAAATCCGATTACCATCTTATTTCATGCCTGCCTGTTGTGATATATGTGTGTACATAGAAAGCGCGTCTTTTGTTTACTGCACATCAGAGACTAGAATGCAAAGAGAGGAGAGGTTTGGAATGTGTTGACAGTGCCTTTGGGGGTTCAAGTTGGCGAAGGAAGAAAAGCTGAAGGATAAAACCATGCATGCATGAAGAAAGGCCGTAGCTTTGGTGTTCTTTACTTGCTTTCTCTTCAAGCTTGCAACTCTTTAATTTTACTTTCTAGTTGATGGAGCAGTCGAAGAGAGAGAGAGAGAGAGAGAGAGGGGGGGGGGGAGAGAGTCCCAAGCCAAAGTTACATATGCATGGAACACGTGCATGCTTAGCGGCCGAACCTGTTTGCCGTGCGAGTGTTATTCCTCTCTGAAGACGTATTGGATACAAATGTATATATCCATCCGAAGGAAGAAGAAACAGTAGTTCCGTAGCCGCTTCAGCAATCCCCACGGCTTGCTGCAATGGCGTCGCCGAACGGCCTTGTGCCGTGGCTTGATGGGACACAGCGACGGGTTGCGGGCAAGCAAGAGGAAAGGAAAGAAAAAGGAAGACAAGGGATGAGATATATATATATATATATATATATATATATATATATATATATATATATATATATATAGAGGAAGAAACAAGGAAAAAAATGAAAGAAGCATGTAAAGGAAAAAAAAATTGTGACACGGTTAAAGGGAAAAGATTAAGAAGAAAACAAAACGTAGAGAGGAAAAAAGAAAAAAGAATTCAGTCGTACAGATATATTTTAGGAATTTTATATGTAATTTTTAGTTCATATTTCATGTATAATTTAGGAGTATTGTGTAGGCATTATGATTTACATATGATTTCGTCTAGCCTATTTTAAGAGTTTAATTAAAAAAAGTATATAGTTTACGATTCATAGTTTCTAAAATATTTTATTATTAGAAAATATTATGAAAATTAAAATTCAATGCTATATTATTAAAAAATATTTAGAATTTAATTATTTTATTTAAAAAAGGAAAAGTTATAAAGAGGGCATAGAATAATAATTATAAAATTATATTAATATAATATATAAGTGCATAAAATTAAAAATAATTGGAACTAAGGAATCTGACACACAAATAAATTGAGTCTGAAAGTAGGATCAATCGAAAGAATAATCTGATTATTTATTATTATTTTGAATGAAATTGAATATTTTTATTATATTACTAGAATTGAAGTCAGAAGGTATAGTAGCCCCTCGAGATGAGCAGCCTCGCACTGTGAAGAAGATTGAGGGGGCATATTTTATCCCACGGACATGTCATAGTTGATACCACACGTCATGTCAGAACTCGTACCCCCAAGACACTGTTCGATATGCCTGGTCCTGACAATCCCGGGATGGCAATGCCCCACACACCAAGCCAGAATCCGTACTAATGTCATGCTCTGTCAATCACGTCAATCCACGTATGACCGATTCTCTCACGTTAGTACAAAGACCTCTATCTCGACCTCCAAAAAGGAGGAGAAAAAAAAGGGAGACAACTGACTTCCTCGTCGGAGGGGCCAAAGTTAGGGATCACCCGACAAAGGCCAATTTTGCAGGAAGGCAGCCCAACCTCGGGAGTCGCGGACCGGTGCCCTCGTGGCGAGCCATCGACCAACCCGCCCCCCGACTCGAGGATCTAGTTGGCTCCGACAACCAGCTTAGCCGACAGGAGGCTCTCGACATAGACCCGTGGACCGAGCTGTGCTGACTCATCAGCCATGACATATTCGTTCCCCCAACACCGGCCATGCCGCACCACCCCACCATCCTTTTCATGTCCGACGGCGCAATCAAGCCCCTGTGATATGGCCGAAGAAGAAGAGTAAAAAGGATGCATTTCCCACAGGAATATATCTACTCCCGAACGAACCTAGGAAACCAGCAAGAATGCATGGGTACAAGCAATCAACGGGGAAGCGAGCCCAGAATACCGAAGCGTTGCAGGAAGTAGAGCGAGTAGAGAGAGAAAGAAGGCCCAGAATTCTGCTACTAGTGAAAATTAAGAGATTCGTGATAGTCAATTGTGTGACCGTTCCCGTCGAACAAAGAAGCTGGGTGCAGAGGACCCTAGCCCAAAGCCAATAGAGCCCATGAAGGCCCAACAAAGTGTCCTATATGAACTGGGCTGGGTTAGAGTTCTCGAGCCTATAATGGCCTATTGGAGACACAGGAGGAAATTAATCGTGTAAGCAATGCATGGGGCCCACGAGCTAGCTCCTTTTTTGTATTATAAGGATTCATAGCCCCTTTTTACTATTAATAATCCTCATTTCTATTGATTTTATCTTCTTTTTTTTTCACAACCTCGCTCTCCCTACTAACGTTGTTATAAATTATCATCGTACACTCACACCAATCCTGATACGAAGACGAAGAAGAAGAAGATAAAGGATATTTTCATTCATTTATAAAAGAATAATTTAGAATTATTAAAAAAATTTAAAATGAGATTATAAATGGTAAAAAGAGGATTGCAAATAGTAATATCCAATTCCAAATAGAGAAGAAAATTTAATCATCTTAATTTTTTCAAATCAAAAAATATAAATGGGACACACAGTTTTTTCACTATCATTATTTCTTAATTTTTCATATTCTAATGTACAATGTATAGACCTCTGTATCTATTTTCTTAATTCTAGGTGCCATTGCCATGATAAGAAATAATCTAATTTATATTATATTTAAAATAAAACAGATATGACACTATATGCAAAACCTGCCTATATTATTCTTGTTGATTGGTTTTCTTTCGGACTACATTAACCTTTGCTTGTTGCAAGACTTGTAGGTAAAATTTTTTAGCCTCCATTGAAATATTATTATATTTTACAATATTGAGATACTCACAAGCTAAATATTGCTTCAAACGAGTGATAAATGAGCAATGCATGCTCGCTCATAGGCATCACTGATTGGTACTCAATTGGTGTTTTTGTTTTAGTGAATAAGGTCCTATTGGAATGTTTATAATGTTTGTATATTCATGGCTGAATTTTGAGAATCTCTTAGATGATAAATCTTAATTGAAACCTTCCTACATACATTTTAAGACATCAAACTTAGTGTTGCTTCAGATGAATTATTCCTCCACCTGATTGATGTAGTCATAATGGACACACTAATATTGATGACAGTTCTCCTAAGCCTGCCTTATCAATCAATAGTTACTTTGGGGTACTTTTTTCTATGAAAACATATCGATTTAATAAACTATGATAATATATGATTACTGGAATAAGGACCCTAATTGAGTCCAAACATAGCAAAATTAGCAATAATAGACTTCAATTAGAGTCATTAGACTAATATTCATAATTAGAAAGAAACCTAATCACCAACTCACAATTCATTCGTACCACAACAATGTGTTCCAACTTTGGTAAACATCATCTTTAACAGTCTTTTGAGAAAAAAGGGACATGATGTTTTCTCAATTTGTAGCTCGACGAAGCAGACTCCATGGTCTGCTTAGAACCAATTAACTGTAGTTACAACATGCTGTATGGATATCGACAACCTATCCTAACCATAATACCTACTCGAAGAGAAAACCATCAACTACCAACCCAAAGCCCATAGGTATCTTTGCTGGTAGAACTGAAAGATAAGTTTCGCTGCTTTTCAGATCCAAACTTAAATTGCAGGGTGGTAGTGTCCGTCAAAGTCGGGCTTGAAATGGATCCGAAGGAGAAAACAAGGCCGTTGTCCGCTCTAGGTGAGCTAAAGGTAAACGATGGAATGGTATCTTCAGTGTTGCTAAGCATTCTGCAAACTGCTGGCGATGAGGTCATGGTAGGCGTTGGTGGTGCTTGGGAAGGAGCATTTATCGGAGTGGAAACAGGAAATGTGAACGCGAAGCCTTCAGAAGTTTTCTCCATGGCCCTGCAAGTATAGTAGGAAATTAGGTCCTATATACAAACTACAAACAGAAGAACATGGCTAGCACTACACTGTATTTTTTACTAACCTCAATATGCTCTGATTGGTGCTATTCGGAGTAATGGATGGTCTCTTATCATGATTATTGTCCATTATTAGCCTGGTTGTAGCCTACAAGTTGAAAATGATAAATTAGTAAATGTCAGTACGCCAACAAATGTCTTATACAGGTTTGAAAACATTCTGACATACTAGTACTTGCATCAGCTACATCCGACTCTTCACGATAACATAATTCACTAAAAATAATACAAGATAAAATAATTCATATCCAATCCAGTAGAAGTAAAAGCAAATCAGTGCATCGTTCAAACATTTTGGAAAATAGAGTGAGTATTGGGCATATCAAAAATATTTACAGGCACTATACCAACACTAGTGACAAGGATGAAGAACTATAATGGAACAGTTTTGATTTCTATAGATGAACAAAAGGACCTGCAGTAAGTGATATGTCCAGTTTTTGTAGCACATAGAATGAAACTAAGATGAGAATTTCCAAAAAATAATTTGACCACTTCTTTAGATGAATTGTTTTAGCATCATAAGAAAGCCCGAAGTCAGATTCATGAAGCGAAGTTGTAAAAAGCAACAGCAACACTCTCAAGCTTCATGGTTAACAATAAAATATCTGCAAAGAAATCTTATTCTTCAGAAACACATATTATAGGTAAAACCATGGTCCTACTGAAGATTGATAGATCCCACATACATAGCATGATATAGGTAGGAGAAATAAAACATATAAATGCAGCAAAACAAATCATGATATCGACATCCTGCCACATATGAGCAGACTGCATATGTTGTCACATCCTGCATACGCAGTCATCAGATATAACAAGCAGTACATGGCCAAGGTTAGGCAGTCAAGTCCCTGCCTACACATCCAGAGCTTGGAGATTGGGGATTTTTTAATACATACGAATGTGAAAAACAAGCACCCTGCATGAGGCAAGTGCACCCAACAGTTCTAAATTCTGGAGCTTCTAAAAGGATGACTTTTAGAATTAGTCAAAATGCATCTAAATATTCAGTAGAAACTTCCACAGGAGATTGCTGCATGCAGAAACTTCAACTTAAATTTCAAGATTAAGAACAGACTCAATCCGAAAAAATCAATTTCAATGAACTGTGGAGCACGAATATCCATCTTGAACTTTAATTCTAATATTTCAGATTATAGGAAAGGAAACTTGCCAGAGTTTACCATCATTTTTTATTCACAGATATTATTTCACAAAAACAAATAAGACACTTTTTCCCCGTACTATCCCTGAAAATTTTCACAAGCAGTCATGGGCCTACCTCACCTGTAAACCATTTCCTGCTGATTGTCAAATGTGACAGACAACATCAAGTAACCAATCACCGACTCATCGCAGATTTCTTAGGCTTCTCATGTTTATATCAGGAGAGATAAAAACTTCTGAGTTAATTTAATGTATTCTGTTAAAACGTTAATATCACAAACAAGTGATTCAGCATAGACTTTTAAGATACCAAACAGTTAACTCATATAATCTGTTGAAGCTTAGGCAGAATAACAAATTCAACAAATCAAGAATTGAACTAAGGAAAGAAATGATACCTCTTCTGCTGCAGCAGTATCCATACTGAGTGAGTTTGGCTTGTCATCAGCAATGATACTCACATCAGTTCTCTTCTCACGCCCATCCATAGCTAAACAAGCAGAGTTCAAGAAATCTTTGGTCCCTGTTTTTTCCAGCTTCAACTGTACCATTTTCTCTTTGGGCGAAGGAACTGTTCTATCAAGGTGCTCTAATATTTTCCGAGCCATTTGACTGGATTTTGGATGAACAGATGAAGGACCAATATTGTATTTGGAACCTTCAGCAGCCTGGAAGTTCAAGCTAGATGCCAATGAATCTTTCTCAGATGTCATCCCCAAAGGGGATGGCAAGTTCTTATCATTTGAAGTTGCTGACGACATTAAGCGAAAATTAGCAAGATTTGAAGTGCCAAATTCTTTGGAAGGAGTTGATTCATTATACTTCTCGGGAACCTGACAAATGAACAGACTGACGGAAATGAATCATCAAATATCCATCACATTTTAGAAAACAAAAAAAAGGAAACATAAGAAAATTTGAAAGTGCAATACATGAATCTGAAACATGAGTTTTATGGCAATCCTGCAGTTAGCAAGTTCATTTTAGCTTCCAGTGCAACAAAAACTCATTCTCGATGCTCCGATAACAAAATTCACGTGTGTGTGGAAACTCTTCGTAGTGCTCATTCCAAACACAGAATAAGGGATCAATATACTTATGTTTTTGTGATGCCTCCACAAAAATACAGCTGGCTAGCTTCTGGGTGCGCTTTGAAGTTCCTTGATGTTTGACCTCTCTTTCAAAAAACTAGTTCAAATAGTTTGAAAAATTAGAGATATTGAGTGGTCAACATATTTTGGTAATTTGAGATATAGCATCAAGTCCATGGGAAAAAAGTTGTTTTACTGTTGTTCCATATTTCCATGTATTTTCCCAACAAGAATAATATATGTGCATCCAGAAAAGAAGAGCCAAACCTAATAACAAAACACCAAGTGATCCATCCGGTGAAGAAATTTCCATGCAATAAAATTCTGAACATTGTAGCTTTTACTTATTTATAAAAAATCATGGTGTTTTTACCTATCTAATTTCTCTTCTTAGAAAATTTAACCATCACTTTTTATAGTTCAAGGTTCTTTACAATATTTGCTCTTAAATGTTTCAAAATTCATGTTGAAGCCAGACTATTCAACACCAGATTCTTGTTTTTGCAGTTACAGTTACAGGGAGCCCACACCCTTAAATTGACACATCAAACCTAGTGATAAAGAATAGATCAACATATACTGTTCAAATTCATGAGATATATACATAGATAACTTGGCTCTGAAGAGGGTCCATATCCCTTTGGCTTCCTTAACTAATATATCTTCTGCCAAATGACAATTCGATATTTTGGTTTCTTTTTGTTTGTAGGTGCAGGAAAGATATAGCAGTTTAACTACCAGTAAACAAAGCATAGGAAAAGAATATCTTTGTTTAGATATATTTTCTATCCAAAAGGAGGTAAATCTCAAACAATTATCTCTATTTGGGTCAGAAATAGCATATTACCATTACACCACCAAAAGTAGTAGATCTTTTCCACCTAGACAATGGAACAATTTGTGGACTCTGATCACCAGCTTGAAACTGTTAAAAGAAGTCAGAATTGGAGATATATACCTTAGAAACCTATACTGGTGAATTTGACACATACTTATATACATAGAGAGATTTAGAAGTCAGAGACCTTCGATCTTGAGAAATTTGAACCATAGTAAGGAGTCCTTTGAAATTTGTATGGCTCAACCTTTGTCCTATGAGTTTGAGGAGTATGATAACGATAACTGCTCTCCACAAATGCTCCTGGCCAACATATAGGCAACTTTACATCTGATGAGTAGGACATGTCTGATGCAGACGCACAATTGTCAAACGTTGCTTTCTCAAGCTCTAATCTTCCATCATGAGAGTTGTGGTTAGATTCATTTGCTAGAGCTTCCATGTAGGCTTTGGCAATTTCAACTGGTGAAGAACCAACATCATGTGCCTATTCAATGAAAGCAAATAAGTAAAACATCAGAACAATGATCAGTAATCTGAATGTGGAAATAAATTCTGCAATACCATCAAATGGCTAACATTACTGTACAGTTTGATATCTTACTACTCTCATTTCAGAAGCTTCCCGAGGCTTTGGTGTTATCCGCTGCTCAGGCAGCACAGCAGACTGTGCAGATTTCCTTGGAGCCTTTAGGTTCAATGTGCCATCAGCTTTTGTAACAAAACCTGCAGCTGGTCGATTATCATGGGAAAGATCTCTAGTCCTTGACAACAGTAACTTCATTAAACAGTTGGACTGCTCTCTGCACAGGAACAAGAGGTTTAACATGCTAATCACCTTGACTATATTGTATGCACCAACAATTGCCAACCAGGTACTGATCATAGATTCCAAGTTAAGATGAATTAGAATACATGAGACGAACAAATTCTGTCTGGTAATAGATTTTCTGGTGGCAGGATTTTTAAAAAGTGAACAGACTGCTTTAGATGAGTGTTTCCAACACTGTAATACAAGATCTGATGCTTGCTGTATTCTCACATCTGATCTGAAAATTCTGATGCAGACTAAATAAGGCAACCTTCAGATAAGGAATTAACATTCTAAGCATTAGAATAACAATTACATCCACCCAGCTGCTATAAAACATGTTTGCTCCACAATAAGAGAGCTTTCAAATGGCAGCAACAAGTGTTTATTAATTGGGAGAAAACCAAATTTAGGGCACACTGGCACAGTACATATAATCAATTCAACAAAAAAAGAATCTTTTAGATTATCATAAGATAAGCATCAAACGCAAACTACTACAACTACTGACTTGCACCTTCCACATGAGACATTTATACAGGAAAAAGGACGACTATAGAAGAACCCCTAAATGGAGCTTCTCTAGTTATGGTAGAGTGTTTATGGTCACATCCATTGTTCATAGGCTCATAGAACCCATATCACTATGGTACCTAATTCCTCCATGTTCAAACCTTGCCAAGTAGCCCTTTTCGGTAAGCTGGGCTGGCCAACAGCCCTACATGGATGGGAGCATCTTTCATCACCTTTTCCCGCTACAGATAGGGGTCAGGTACCTTTCTGGATCAGAAAAGGTTGGTAAACTAACAGCCCCCCTGATCAGCTCACGGTATAAGCGGAAAGAATTGGAGCCAAGCCTTCTTCCCTTGTTCAGCTAGGACTGAACGCCTGTCTGCTTGGCAATAGTTAACTTTTTCTTGTTCAAAACAGGGTCATGTGACCTTATTAGATGCTGTATGGGCCTCAACAGCTTTGCAGGGCTACACTTGGACCTGGTCTAAAACTGGCGGGACTTATGATGCTGTTGTTGTTGATGCTCTGCTATCTCCTAAATGAATCACATTGTAACCAAGCTTGTGTTCCTGAGATCTCTTACAACCTATCTTTGAATAAAACCAAAGTCTATAATCTTAAACTAATACCGATTTTGGTAATATACCTGATCAGAATGTTATTGGTGTATCGAGTGGTATGCTAACCTGTATTGGTTAATTAAATCCGAAAAGAATAAAAAAGTTTGTCCAGC